TGGCTGGCTGGGGAATTCTGGGAGTTGAAGTCCACTCATCTTAAAGTGGCCAAGTTTGGACAACACTGCACTAGATGTGGTTGGATTTATACAAGCTCCAAAATTCAGAATTCAGATTTGAATTTGGAAATGTGTATGAATTCAGAAGCAATGCAGTCAATGAGTTTCAATATGATGTTTGAAAGTAGGTTCCTTGGTGCAGTATTGGTTTGGAAGTTTTGCAGTCCAGATGTGATTAATTTCACAAATGCCTGATTATTTAACACTATTTTTGTGTATATGTGATCAGTAAGCAAAACATGGTTGTATCCTTCACTTTCCTTGTCTCTTAATAAACAATTCTGTACTCCTGCTATAGACTGGTTAAATTTTAGTCTGTTCCTTCTGATTAATTTTCCCAAATTTCTTCATGTGAATAATAGCAGCTAGAGAAAGTCTAATTTTCCTAATGAAATTTCTTCTGAAAAACGCTATTTCGTATTCTGTAATAAATGCTGACGTGCTTGAGGGTTTGTTTAATTTTATTTTTTGTAAACTATTTCTCTTGAAAACATGTTGTTTACTAACTATGGGGCAAGAAGAGAGATGGGCAAACTTTTGGTGTCTAATACCTGCACTAAACATTTTCATTCCAGCCAGCCTTCAATATTTAAGATAGTTCATTGATAAGCTGAGTAGGTGCTGTCTGTTTTGTTAATAGACCTTTCTGTTTCTGTGAGCAAACATTCTTTCAACTGTCTTCACCTCTCTGATTTCCCACACATCAATTAAATCCAGGGGAAGTGATCATGACAGTTTTCTCCCATTAGGGAACAACAGGAACGCTCTCCACCAGCTCCAACAATAATAAGTTTAAAAACTCCACCAAGAGTAACTCAAAAGATGTTCTCAAACATCCTGGGATTAGGTAGAAGAACTGAAGCTTCTTACAAAAGATTTTTTACAAAGTGGATTTCAACACACCATTAGTACATGATGCAAAATTTACTAGGGAACTTACAAAAGCATATACCCTTTTTTGGTACTAACATTCCCTCACTGACAAATGATTCTTCTTTTCAACCATAGTGAATCAGTTGTTCCACAACTTAATAGCACTAATGTTTGCAATTAAACATCACCTGAGTCTTATATTTTCAGAAGATGTACTATCTGTTCTGTGTCCTAGTTCCAAGACAGGCAGAAAAATCAATGGCTATTAAATTAACATCCATCATCTGTCCTCTATGATCAGCCTGATTATACCAGGATGCAACTCTGCAGTCGTCCTTCATGAGATAAGGCAGCCAAACAATGCCTTATTCTTCAGCTCTCAAGTGCTATACACAGAGTCAGAGACAGCTTGTCCGGTATCAGCACATCCCTATATTTTTCCAGAACTCACATGCCAAATGTAGAAAAGGGATCTTTTTTCTTTTGCAAGAAAAATCAACCCATATCTATTTGCAAAATTGCTGCAAGAAAATGTAGTTGTGTTGATAAACTGACAGTGGTCTAATAGCACATGTGAAAGCTCAGATTTTGAATGTTTCTAAACTCAGGGAATCCCAGGTGGAAGAAACTTTGGGACTCAATGACTCCAATGTATTACTCAGTGCCAGACTGGCAATAGAAAGTACTTATGCAGCAGATTTCCCAACCTAACTTCTTCCAGGTATGTTGGAATTGCACTCCCATTATCTAGCACATAAAATCGGAATAGCTGGGAATGACAATCCCAAAACATCTGAAGGTGAGAGGCTATTATGATGAAGAATTGGTTACCTACCTGGAATAGCAGTTCAACTTCAATATGTGAATTCAACATGGGTTATTATTGCCCCATTGAAAATATTCTAGAACTTGCAGAATTAGTTGTGGGCAACCCTCTTCCCCCAGCACACCATGTGACTAGGTACAGCTGCTGTAGAACTTCTTCAGATCCTAAGACTAACATGGAGTATCTGCAGGTGCACTGAAGTTGTGTGAGACCTAGCAGGAAGGTGAATTCACAGATAAGCACTAGAAAAAATTACAGCTACAGGGAAGGACCCAGTTCTTTCTTGTGGTTTCTTATTTACACATATGGGTGAGCAGCAAGCTTCTTAACTGTAAGACAGTCTGGTTATTTTTAAGGTGACTAAAGACAAATCATCCAATGTTTGCTTTTTTCTACGAGTGTGGTGCAATCAATAGATGAAGGTAGATGGCTGAATCCACATTGTTATTCAGTATAACTCCAGAAATTGAATACTCTGGAGTGAGCGTGGATAAGAAGGCCCCTTTGTTTTGACCAGTCCATAATTAAGTCTGATGGTTTCCATTTGGAGAAATACTGGGAGGAAAGACCATGCTTTTACATAGGTCTTGAGCAAGATCGAGCAGCAGGGAAACCATAGCTGCCAAAATTACTAAGATGTATTGAGACTACAATTGGTTGATTCCCTGTTAATCCTTGCCAGGACTCTGGTCAAGTGGGAAAGGCAGAAAAACAGCTTTGTTCCAAGAAAAAAAAAAAGGACAGTGTCACTGAGCAGCCATGATCTGCCCCTTCTCACCTGTAAAAGGTTAGGTATCTACTGCCTGTTATTCTGTGATGCTCAGGAGTTAACTGGCATTGTATGTGTGTATAGGTTTGCAGAGGCATTGGAGCTGTAGAAGAACAGCAAAAGACCACATAATGTCAGCTGGGTTTCCTACTAGTTCCAAGATCTGTGGTGGCTTGGGTGGGGACACAAATAGGAGAAATACCAAGAGTCTCCAGGCTGGTCAGGGAACATCAGCCCTAGTGGATATCAGAAGATTGAGACTCTGGCTTTAGACCATTGCGGGGGTTGCTTGAACAGAGATCAGTGGAGGAGCTGGCAGAGCTTGCCAATCTGGTGTACAGATCAGCTGTGTGGCAATGGCAACAGCAAAGATCAGCTGTTTGGTAAAGGTGATGGTGAGCTTACCAGGCTCATTGTGGTGGTGATGACATTTGGTGGTACAGCAGTGGCAAAGGCAATCCAGGTGTGCCTGATCTCCACATAGCAGAAAGCACTTGTGACTAGGTACCAGGAAAGAGTGGGAGCTAGATTGGGCTTATATTAGGGTTAAGAACTAACCTGAATCATGCCTTGATGACTTCTAATTTGATTTATTGCAATGCACTCTATTTTGGGCTGCCCTTGAAGATAACTCAGAAGCTACCGCTAGACCAAAATGCAGCAGATTGGGTAATTATGGGTGCACTTCAGTATGCCCATGTAACACTGCTACTTCGTAAGCTGCAGTAGTTGCTAGGGAGCTTCCAGACAGAAATCGAGGCACTGGTTATCACCTACAAAGCCCTTTGTAGCATAGGGCTGAGATATTTGAGAGACTGTCTCTGCCCACCCCAAAAGATCAGAGAATCAGCATACTCCAGGTACTGTTTATTACACAGTAACATTTGGTGGGACCCAGCAAGTGTGCTTTCTCTGTCACTGTCCTCCCCTGTGGAACAGCACTCCCCCAGATGGCTCTGTTGACCTTTAAGAAGGTTCAAAACACTTGGCTCTTCCTTTGGGCATTGGGCTAGGATGTTGCATGAGCCATCAATATGTATTAATATACATGAGGTGAATTTTGACCCCAGCACTGTAAGCCTGTTTATGTGTTTTCTTGTACTATTTTTTTTATTTGTATTCATTTTATTGTTTTTAATGTTCTTATGCACCCAGAGTCACTTGGAATACTAACTAAATAAAACAACCAAACCTTTGGGTTGTCTCAGTGGGGTTTGATGAGGACCATTGTTGATAAATGCAGTTTTCCTTCATGGATGGCTGTTTTTTGTACAGCTGAGTGGATGCCCTTCAGAAGCAGAATGGACAGAAGGTAATCAATTACTATCTCAGTAACTGATTTATGCCCCGCCTTTTGTATAGGAGCTCATGTTGGCCTATGTAGTACTTTCTCCTCCTGTTTTTCCCCCTCAGCAATAGCCCTATAAGATAGATGGGGATGAAATACAGTGACTGGTCCAACGTCACTGAGTGAGCATCATGTGGCTAAAGGTAATCTAGAAGTGGGCCTCCCTGCTCCTGCTCCAACACCTTAACCGCTTGCACCATAGTGCAACAGAGATTTCAGCATCTTTTGTGGATGATGTAGAATTTGATTGTTCTTCAAAGAGATGAGGATGCTGCCAGACAATTTGGGGCACATGATAGAAATCTTGAAAAATGAAAAAGGTTTTATATAAGCTTCAGAGTCTTCTACGCAAAAAGTTTACTCCCAGAGATTGATTTGCAAATGAGAACAGTAATTGCAACAAGCCTGTTCAGTAAGCACCAACACTTACAAGTGTTAACTGCTTGTCCTTCACCAAGGCAAAAACAAAAACAAAAAAACACTGTTTATACCTAAGGGGGAAGTTTGCCCCTGCATCTCTGGCACTGATGAAATTAAGACCTTAAGTCTGAAGGCTGGAAATCTGTGACCAGCAAAAATGGTGTCTTTTCAAAGAAGAGGAGGGAAGAGTAAAGAAAATAAGAAAATAAAGCTTTTTGATAAAGCAAAAAGACAATCACCTCAGGGACAAATGTGCTAATGCTGTACTGCTCCAAAACAAATTGAAAGGGATTAGCAAGATTGTGCCTAGTCACTCGGTAAGTGTGGGGAGACAAGGTCCTTCACAAAGTAATTCTGTAAGCTCCAGAAGGTTCCAAACAGAGCTGTGTGCAGCTGCATAATCCATGTATATGAATCACAGAAACCAAGATGAACTTTGTCTACGAAAGTTCTCTATACAATTGAGGA